GCTCCAGGTTAATTATCTGCCATCCCATGAAAGTCTAAGGGTGAAACATAATTGCAATTTAGATTTTCTCATTTAAAAAGACAGTTAGTTACAGTTGTATTTTGGAACAACTGTAATTAGAGTTCCAGTTAATAAGKGAGAAAAATGACAAGCAAAAAGCCATCAATCACACAATAAATGTGAACAGAAACAATGATGAAAATGCTTCTCTTGTTAGTTTTAAATGCACTTTTAATTTWAGTCTGTTAATTAAAGTCTCCTGGGTATCAGTGTCTCTGTAGTTATGGAAACCGATTTGAGTGACAACATTTTATCAATTGTGTTGAATGTTTGATTTGTTATAATTAATTTCTGACTGTTTAGGACAAATAGGAAAGAACTGTGAATTCTGAACACATAGAGCTTCGAAGGATTTCCCTCTGGTGACAAATTCAAAACTTTTATTTGCTTTTGTTTCAATCCACCTCTGCCACAACAGGAATTTCCCAATTTATCTAAAGGCATAAAAACCCTCTCCAATGTATCTTATCCAATCTATTGGATAAGATATTGTTTAAAGTTTAAAGTTTAATCAGTTTATTGTTAAAGTTTAAAGTTTAATCAGTTCTTCAACCACAAGCAACATTTAAACAATTTTTTTTTGCTCAAAACCCACATGGCAGCATTCTGACCCAAATAACACCAGTTTCAGTTTGTCAAAACTCAGTTAGGAATTGATTTATTTTCAACTAAACAGAAATCCACAGAAATCTAAAAAAATTAACACAATTAAACCAATGAATTCTACTGCTGCAACTTTCTTAGGAAGATACAATCAAACATTATCTGTGGGAATCTGAGAACTTCAATGCATGAATAAAAAGATGGGGGAAGAGAAAGGAGCAACTGGAAATGGAAAGTRAATGAGTATTAATGTTCCAATTGCACTGAAATGCTGTAAATAAAGTTTTTAATTATGAGTAATGATAAACAGAATTGTCTCCAGTTGTTATTCTGAGGTGGGAAGGCTTTTGCTGGTTCTCTGGGGATTTTTATCAGTGTACAGCAGGATTTTGGCAAAAAAAAAAACCATCAACTTCACAACTGAGAAAGCCATATTTTCTAAAGAATAAGTCATTCACATAAAATATTTATCATTTGAAATAAGAAGCATTGTATAATGACAATGCTGTGAATTCTATTTCAATGCAGTGACTCCCTACAAGCAGAAGGGTAAATAATTAAATCAGAACATTCATTGGAGCAATTTTATCCATCAAATAAAGTTCCTGTTTCAAAAGAAACACTCTGCTCTACTTTTTTGAGGAATTAACACTATCAGGATAAGAGCAGAAGAGGAACTTACAACAAATATTCCACATTAACTGCTTGGTGCCAACAAAAATGGAAAAGAATTTTCCATTTTTAGTTTCCACAACACTATTTCCTGAGAATTTTAATCCCTATTTTCCCCATTTCAACAGTTAATCTACTTTCACCCAAAAGAGCAATCCAAAACCATACCCTTAACTGTAAGCACACACATGAAAAGTTCCACTTGGATAGTTCTACGTTTTTCAATTTTAATGCAAACATTTTCAGTCTCTTTTGGGTATAAATAAATCAAGGATGTGTAATTAAGTTTTYCAAATTTAAGAAAAGACAAGGGATACATTTCATAAGAGAAGCCTGGTGTCTCATCTAAATTATTTAATCACATAATTCATTCAGTAGGTTTAATTTGTTGGATACTAGAAAAGGGTTTTATCTCATCAATTCACTCTTGAAAGACACAGATTTAAAACTTTAAAGTCATATTTGTGTGGTCATGTGAGGTCAAATACACTTCATATTGAGCACTGCAGAGTGCATGTGATGCCATGAAACTCAATTTAATATGGGGTTTATAATATATTTAAAATATGCTCTCATAATCTTTAATTCCCCCATTATAAAACTGCTCCCAGACAGAATAAATTGAGTTCATGTCTGATTGCAGAGGAAAAAAGATGTACAGAGCTGATGTGTTACAGAAAACCACTGAGCACTGAGCTTCTTACCTTCAGATGGGAGAATTTAATCTTATAAAAAATGCTGGATGCCATATAGGTTACAGGAGAATTTATACTCTTYTCTTATACTGATTGCTTAAGTGATAGATGCAAGAAAAAGTAATTATTTATATATCCTTGACAAGAAACTAAATGTTGTATTACTGACTGCTGAGTCATAGCAGAGAAAAAATCCTACAAATAAATAATACAAACTGCAACTCTTTATATATATATATAAAAAAATAATACATATATATATATAAATAAGACATAAAAAATACATATATATATAAATAAGACATATATATATAAATAAGACATATATATGTATATATAAGTATATATATTCATTATATATTATATATTAAATTATAAATTATATATTAAATATATAT